TCTTCAAGTACAGTGGGTGGTGGTTAATCCTCACAGTCCCTGCTAGTTCTTTCCACAGCTTGGGCGGTAAGACAAGAGGCTTTATCAGTGAAGACTGAGGCAAAAAAGTCATTGAGTAACTCAGCCTTCTCTATGTCCCGGGTAACCAGAGCACCAGTATCCTTCCGGAGGGGGCCTACGTTCTCCTTGGACTTCCTTTTGTCCCCTACATACCTATAGAAGCTTTTCTTATTGCTTTTTATATCCCTTGCCAAATTCAATTCCTTCAGGGCTTTAGCCTTCCTCACCTGATCCCTGGTCACTCGTACAGCTTCTCTGTATTCCTCCCAGGCTATCTGTCTCCGCTTCCACCCTCTATAGGCTAACCTCTTCATTTTCAGTTGGTCCAGGAGCTCCTTGCTCATCCACGCGGGCTTCCTGGTCTTTTTGCCCGTCTTGTTCTTCATCAGGATGCACCTCTGCTGAGCTTGGAGGAGGTGCTCCTTGAATGTGGACCAACTTTCCTGGGCCCCTCGTCCCTCCAGGGCCGCCTCCCACGGCACTTTGCCCATCAGGTCCTTGAAGAGGCCGAAGTCCGCCTTCTTGAAGTCTAGGGCACAGAGCTTGCTGTATAGTTTCCTTGCTGCCCCGTGGATCTTGAACTCCACCGTGTGTGGAGTACTTGGTGGTACTTGGTGTGTGGAGTACTTGACAAGTACTCTCAGCTTGTCACATCCAAGTAGGTGATGTCAGCTGCTCTTCCCTTATCCACCAACGCTGTAACCCCATCATAGAAGGCCACCACGTTTGTCAGACACCATTTGCCCTTAGGGAAGTCATGTTGGCTGTGACAAATCACCTTCTTTTTTCCCATGTGCCTTAGCATAGTCGCCAGGAGCATCTACTCCACGATCTTGCCAGTCACAGAGATGAGACTGACTGGCCTGTAGTTCACTGAGTCTTCCTTTTTTCCCTGTTTAAAAATGGGGGCTATGTTCTCTGTTTTGCAGTCGGTGAGAACTTCAGCAGACTGCCATGACTTCTAAAATACAATGGAGAGTGGCTCGGCAACTTCATCTGCCAACTCCCTCAGGACCCGTGGATGCACCTCATCAGGTCCCATGGACTTGTGCACCTTCAATTTCCTTAGATGGTCTTGAACCTGATCTTCTACAGTGGGCGGTTCTTCATTCTCACAGTCCCCGCCTTTGCCTTCTGGGAGTTGGGCTGTGCAGCTGGAGCTCTTGCCAGTGAAGACTGAGGCAAAGAAGTCATTGAGTACCTCAGCCTTCTCCATATTCTGGGTAACCAGGTCTCCTGTTTCCTTTCGGAGAGAGCCCACATCTTCCCTAGATCTCTTTTTATCACTGATATACCCATAGAAGCTTTTCTTCTTGCCCTTGATGTCCCTGGCCATATTTAATTCTATCAGGGCTTTAGCTTTCCTAACCTGATCCCTGGCTGCTTGGACAATTTCTCTGCATTCCTTCCATGCTCCCTGTCCTTGCTTCCACCCTCTGCAGGCTTCCTTCTTGTGTTTGAGTTGGTCCAGGAGCTCCTTGTTCATTCCTGCAGGCCTCCTGCTGTTTCTGCCCAACTTCCTCTTTGTTGGGATGCACCACTCCTGAGCTAGGGAGACGTGATTCTTGAATATTAACCAGCTTTTTATTGGGCCTCTCTTCCCTCCAGGGCTCTTTATCCCATGGTACTCTAGCAAGGAGATCCCTGAAGAGGCCAAAGTCTGCTCTCCTGAAATCCAGGGTAGTGAGCTTGCTAAGCACCCTCCTTGCTGCCCTAAGGATCTTGAACTCCACCATTTCACAGTCACTACAGCCAAGGCTGCCCTTAAGAGCTTCACGTTCCCCACCAGATCGTCCTTGTTGGTGAGAATAAGGTCCGGCATAGCATCCTCTCCTCGTTGTTCCTTTATCACTTGGAGAAGGAAGCTATCACCAATGCATGCCAGGAATCTCCTGGATTGCTTATGCCCTGCTGTGTTGTCCCTCCAACAGACACCAAGGTGGCTGAAGTCCCCCATGAGGACCACGGCTTGTGAACATGAGGCTGTTCCTATCTGTCCATAAAGGGCTTCATCCGCTCTGTCTTCCTGGTCGGGTGGTCTGTAGCAGACCCCCACTATAATGTCACCTGTCCCTGCCCTCCCTTTAATCCAGACCCATAAGCTCTCGATTGGCTCCTCATCCATCCCCGAGCAGAGTTCCATGCACTTCAGCTGGTCACTGACATAGGAGGCAACATCCCCTTCCTTGCCTCCCGTGCCTGTCCTTCCTAAAGATCCTGTATCCTTCCATTCCAGCACTCCAGTCACAGGATTCATCCCATCATGTCTCCGTGATGCCAGTTAGATCTTAGCCCTGCAGGTGTGTGCACATCTCTAAACCTCTTGTTTATTCCCCGTGCTACAGGCGTTTGCACAGAGACATTTAAGTTGGGCCCCTGATGAAGCTGACTTACTGGCTGGAATTCCTTTCTGGTGTTCTTCAGGTACTCTCAGCTTGTCACAGGCAAGCCAGATATTATCCTTTTCTCCTTTCAAGTCTAGTTTAAAGTCCTGTCAATGAGCCCTGCTGGCTCATAGGCCTTCTTCCCCCTTTGAGAAAGGTGAATCCCATCCAGTGTCGGCAAGCCTGGTGCCGTGTAGGTCATCCTATTATTGAAAATCCCAAAACTGTGGTGGTGACACTGGCCACAAAGCACGTATTAATAGACTGGGCACATTTGATTCTTCCAGTGTCACTGCCCTCAACTGGGAGGAGAGAGCTAAAAATAACCTGTGCCCCACATCCCCTTACCAACCATCCCAGGGCCCTGAAGTCTCTTGATCGTCCGTGGACTATGCGTTGCAGCTTCATCATCACCCACATTGAAAACCAGTAGTGGGTCACAGTCTGAGGGCCGTACCAGGCTGGCAAGTTCCCTGGTGATGTCCTTAACCCGGGCGTCCGGGAGGCAGCAGATTTCCCTAAGGGGAGGGTCTCTTTGGCATATTGGACCCTCTGTTCCCCTCAGAAGGGAGTTGCCTACAGCTATAACCTGTCTGTTCTTACTCGTGGGGGTGGCCGTGGTACTGAGGGCCTTTCTGACCCTGCAACCCCTCTGGTGTACATGGACTGTGACCTACATCATCCATTGGCTTGCCTGGCACATCCAGAGCCTTATTCCTGTTGTACAGAGGCACCTGGGAAGGCGAAGAGGGCAACAAGGGGGTTCGCCTGCTGACCCAAGTGTGGACGTGCCTCCATTCACTCCTTTCCTTTAAGCTACTGCCTTCAGCCTCGGGGGAAGAGGATACAGGATCCCCTTGATCTTGTTTTTTTTCTGATGGCTGCTCCTGTTTCTGTCTCAGGGAAAACAGAATAAGGTTCCACCAGTCTCTCTCCTTCTCAGACTCCGTGATACTCTTTAACCTTTCTACCACAGTGAGCGGATCATTCAGCTGGTCACACCCCACACAGCTATTCTCACCACTGCTGTCCTTACCAGGAAAGGCTCTGGCACTCCCTGCGGTCCGAGATCTGGATGGCTGTGTGTTTTAATGGGAGCTTTCTGCCGTTTGGATACCATAGCTAAGTTCCTTCTGAGAAGGTGACGGCTACCAAGGGAACTCACCTCTGGAGCTGGCAGGGTGATTACACCCCTCCTGCGCAAACTCCCACGCAAACTGCCGTGCTACACTATGGCTGACGCACCACACTCTGTTTGCCTGCTCTGTTGGCAGCGCTCCTGGTCGCTTGCGCTCCTCAGGCTGCTTTTTGTAGATGTGGGGCTGGCTGCTGTTGCTCTGGCAATGCCCAGGCCACTTCAGTGTCTCCTGCAAGAGCTGCTGGCTCCTGGGGTGTCACTCTGCTCCCCTGGTGTTTACCTGCCTCAGGAAAAGCCCCTATGTGCCAAGATCCGCCACTCCGTTGAGGATCAAGCTGGGTTCAGAGCAGCTCCCCTCTGCGACTGACTGCTAGTTTCAGTTACAGCGCATTTAAAATCATGGTAAACAACATAAAGAGCCTACTGTTGCTTGCATATGTTGTAGCATATTTTAATGTTGCAAAGGTTTCCTGAAAGCAACGTTCAAAATGTTTACAAAAACTCAAACTGAAATACAGTTTCACAGTCTGCATTACTTCTTTAAAGACTATAGTCCCTAAGAAATATATTTCTCTACCTTTTTTATATGCTGCTTACTCAGAGTACCTACTTTTGTCTAGTCTTTAAATGTAAGAATGTGTAATCAGTCAGCTGACACCTGGTGGATTTTCAGATAGAAGCATTACCATTTCTACTAACCTTATATTGAAGCCTGTGACGTCTCCCTTTTAAGTGCATCTCCTTGGCATTAGGATCATTAAAACTGCATTCACAAAGTTTACAGTGAAAGCGGATCACCTTTCCTTCATCATTTCTTACCTGGAAAATATAGTTATAACACATTTGGCTTTTTTTTTTTTTTAAATAAAAAAAAGCTGAAGTAAAAATTAATCTAAATCAGTGACACTGGATAGTATCTACCCATCTCAAAACATGCTAAAAAGCTCACACAACAGCTCAAAGAAAGCAGAGTCAAACTTTCAATTCTGACAGACACACCACTGTCTGTACTTAGTGAACAAAGAATAATGTTCTTCCATTACAAAGTGTACACAGGTTTAAACTATTTAAACTAGAGCCTGAACATACTGAGTTGAATAATTACAAATGTGCAAATCAGAAAAAAATTTACATCAGACTTCATACACATATTTCATGCCACTCACATGAAGAAAGCCCCACTAAGCATAAAAGAAACATGCACAATACAAAAATGAAAACATATGCACAAGCCTTAGCAGGTTCAATGTCTTGCAATTCTTGTCTTCAAGGGAGGACCTTGAAGAATTACAGGTTGGTAAGCCTCAGCTCAATCCTTGGGAAGGTGACGGAGCAACTAATCCTGGAAACCGTTTCCAGGCACATTAAGGGCAACAAAATCACCAGGAGTAGTCAGCATGGCTTCACCAAGGGGAAGTCATGTTTGATTAACTCGATAAACTTCGGCAATGGAATGACTGGCCTGGTAGGTGAGGGGAGAGCAGTTGCTACTATCTACCTGGACTTCAGTAAGGTCTTTGGTCTTTGACAGAGTCTCACCATAATATCCTCATATGCAGCTGTTGATGTATGGGCTGGATAAAGCATACAGTTAGGTGGCCTGAGTAGCCAGGCCCAGATCGTGGTGATCAGTAGAACGAAGCCTAGTTGGAGGCTAGCAACTAGCTGTGTACCTCAGAGGTCAACACTTGGTCCAGTCCTGTTTAACATCTTCATTAATGATCCTGATGATGCAGCACAGTGTATCCTCCACAAGTTTGCTCCTCACACAAACTGGGAGGAGGGGCTGATACACCACAGGGTTGCACTGCCACACAGAGAGATTTCCATGGGCTGGAGAAATAGGTTGACAGGAATCTCATTAAGTTCGACAAGGGGAAGTGCCAAGTCCTGCACCTGAGGAGGAACAATCTCATGCAACAATATAGGCTGGAGGCCACTCAGATGGAAAGAAGCTTGGCAGAAAAGGATCAAAATGAACTTGAGCCAGCAATACGTCTTCTCAGCAAAGAAAGTGCCTGACAAAATACTGCCAGCAGGTCAAGGCAGGTGATCCTTTCCCTCAACTCAGAACTGGTGAGGCCACATCTGGAGTCCTGCGTCCAGTTCTGGGCTCCCCAGTACTAGAGAGACACGGACAGACTGGAGAGAGTCCAACAAAGGGCCACAAAGACGATGAAGAGACTGGAGCATCTATCCTGTGAGGAAAGGCTGAGAGAGCTGGGACTGTCTAGCCTAGAGAAGAGAAGTCTGAGGGAGGATCTGAGCAATGGATATAACTACCTGAAGGAAGGGTGCACAGAGGACAGAAGCAGGCTTTTTTCAGTGGTATCCAGTGACAGGACCAGAGGCAATGGGCACAAACTGAAACTCAGGAGGTTCCCTCTGAACATCGGGAAACACTTTTTTACTGTGAGAGTGACTGAGCACTGGCACAGGTTGCGCAGGGGAGTTGTGGAGTCTCCATCCTTGGAGATATTCAAAAGCCGTCTGGACATGGTCCTGGACAATAGTTCAAAACGGGCCTGCTTGAGCAGTGGAGGTTGAACCAGATTACCTTCAGAGGTCCCTTCCAACCTCAACTGTGCTGTGATTCTGTTTCGTGCTGAACAAATTTTCACTAAAATAGTTAAAAAATAATACAAATTTTCATATCAATACCTCCTCCACATAGTCATGGCCCACTGGCTGGACATCACTTTGCAAGGCAGCAAGCGTTGTGGGAGTCACTGGTTCAGCTGCTGTGTCTGGTTTTACTTCCTGTGTTTGCACTGTAGCAGCAGGAGTTGGTTTAACACTTTCAGCCGATTTCATTTCTTCTAGTTTACTTCCTGTTGTCTGAAGCTTATTGCCACCTACAAATCAAAAAAGTTATACCGTTAACTTTCATAAAATGAGAATGTGATTACACATGATGTGCAAACTGAAGACTTTATTTTCAAGTACCAATGTTCTGGCGAAAGCATTATCAGTCTTCTAAAATTAGTTAAAACCTAAACATTTTTTATATTCCATTAAAGATTTTTAAAAATATGTGTCCTGGTTTCAGCTGGTTTAACAACATTCAAGTTATTTAAACACTTAGTTTTTCACTTTAGCAATAAAAATTTTTGCCTTATATAACTGCAATTTTCATTATTGATCTTTCTTTTTTAAAAGAGACAGGACTGAATGGGAACAACTCTGCACATATATTTTAATGATCTATTTTTGTCATCAGATAGCATTTTTTTTGTAAATGGATTCAAAAAAGTACTTATAATGTTTTTACTAACAAAGGTAGTATACTCTCAAGTGTTGTAACTGCATAGGTCTTTCCTTCAAGAGCAGGATAGCTTATTGTGGAACACCTCCTTCCCATCTTTAAATGTCTGTCATGCTCATTTCAAAAGTTTCCACTGTTACAAGGATGTTTCAGTTGTCCAGTTATCAACCACCAACCTACTGCAGGTTGCCTTAACAGCCCAGGATATAAATGGAAATTAGGACCAACTGGACTACAAATTGCAATACTCCAGCAGCTACTACATAAGAAACCAAAGGTAGGAGGCTTCTTACGAAGGTGCGAGAAGCCTCCAAGAGCCATCAGGTGGAGACAACCAGGCAGAAAAAAACCCAAGTTTTGATGCAAAACTTATTTACTTTCTTATTTTCACCTATCAGTAATTCTCTTAAACACAACAGAGTTACTCATGCATAAAGTTAACTAAATACATTTGTATTTACTGCACTAGTCTTAAAGAAAATTATAGAATAGGTTAGGTTTCAAAATAAAGACTGACTTCTGTACTTGCCAACAAAGTTTATTTTCGGGGTAGATATTTTCTTTACAGCTATATTAGCAGCAGTCGAAGATGTTTTGTTGTTGGACGCAGCGTTAAGCGGTGTGTTTGCCGTGGGAGTAAGAATTTTCACTGCCGAGGATGCAACAGAGGAGTTCACGGTACTGCTGCTAGTTGCTATATTTGAAGCCGAGGCAGTTGGTTTGGAAGCAGATGTGGATGTTGAGGAAGTAGCTTGGGTAACCACATTTGGTTCAGTTGAAGGAATGGGTTTGCCAAGTTTTGTGTGCAACTTTACTACCTATAAGAATAAAGACAAATTAATAATATGATCTCCGTAGGGTAACTATAAAAAAATATGTAGAACAAACACCATTATAACAAAAAAAAAAAGCAATATAACTAAAAAAGTTAGCTATTGTTTTTTCACAAATAGTCATCTTGGCAAAAAAATCCGAAAAAAACATGGACATGTAGAAGCTTTTGTCATCTGTAACAAGGAAATAGTTAACAGTTGTCTCATATTACTTATTTCCATAAGAAATTCAGACATTTACTCCAAAAGCAGTATAGATAAGAAGACAAAGTCAAACTCACAAGGCAGTACAAGTCAAGAGCTGTTTCAATGAGACTGTTTTGTTGCCTGGTCACTTTTCACTTTCTAAAAAGTGTAGTATGTTGAAATATTTTGCTTCCAAATAATATTTGTAAATAAGTTATTTGATACACATTCAACAATACTGTCTCTTTTGATCTCTACATTTTAAGAGTATTCATATTGAAAGAATTTTCAGGTTACCTAGCAGAACTGAAGAGATTCCTTACAAAAAGTTTTTTGTGTTTTTTTTTTTTTTTTAAAAAAAGCACATCTGCAGAGACAGTTAAGGAGGATGCAACAGGCGTATTTCAGAGCTCTTTAGTATCTCACAGACAGTAAAGAGGCACATGCTTATTCTTAGAAGTAATAAGCAGAGGCCTTTCCACAATATGCTTGAGATAGAACACTTCTTTTTGGTGACAGCTAGCCACCACTTGAAAAAACAATGCTTGCAGTCCATAAGAACAAAACATGCAAAACCAAAACTAAGGACAGGGTTCGAAAGTAGCAGTGAAAAAAACACCAATCTGCGAGACATGCCTTTAATGCAAACACATGTACACAACCATGACATGCACACAACTGTAGACATACGCTTCTTAGATTTTTGTTCTTAAATTTTTTAATTGTCTCCCATTAGAATACAGACATATTAGTGTCACATAATACTATAAATTTAAGTCCACTCTTACAAGTAACTCTTCAAAGTTACTTTTTTCGAGTAGAACGCACACAATTCTTCAGTGTACCACAGAAATAAATAGAATCCTTTGAGATTTCATTTTTACACTGATAACAATGCAAATTAGCAGTGGTTAGCAACTGTTTATGAGGAAGAGAAAGCAACATTCATATCCATATATAAGGATAATATATATTGTACTCCATACACCTATGGAGTGACTGGGCACAACCCAAAAATTTAATGACTCATCTTATTAATGAAAGAAAGAACACTAGGCAAGTCTATTTAAATCATAATTTTGCTCTTGCACTAACAAAAAACTATATTTGGAAAATTGTTTTAAATCTGCTATAAGATTTATTTATTTTGATAGGAATGATGTTACCGATGCCACCTTGGACAGTGTTCCGAGACGCAAAGAGCTATAAAAGCAGAATATTAACACTGTGTTTGTTACTGACATTAATCTTTCCAGAGTTATGAGAAAATCTGTAATATCTAAACAGACACACTACACTGCCATTGCATTTACTATTGCATGGCCAAACCTAAAACACAGGTCACAGGCATTCACAGTGCAGCTCACAAGCTTTAATCCAGAATGCCCACCTAACAGCACCCGAACTGCGAGGAAAACACGCTTACCAAAAGCCTTTCAAACATACTCGCAAAGTCTACTACAAGACATTGTTCCTTGCTCCCATATGCCAATTTTCTTTGCAAGAAATACCAAGGAGTGATGAGTAATAGTCCTGTCCCTTGGCATTGGCTCAGCTTATAGTGTTTCAGTGTGCACTGGAAACTTCACAGCACCAGATAAGTAAGACAAATGTCAAGAAAGTCGTGAAAAGAGTTAGGGGCACAAGCATGCTACTGCATGCTTTCATTGACTCTTATGCCTGTCTCACTCTACACCTTCTTCCTACAATTACATACTTTCCTCAGTACATCCTCTTCTCATTGATGTTGTGACAATATTTTCCCTCTTCCTCCCCACAAGGCCCTTCTAATAGTGAGCTTAAAGATAAATTTTAAAAAAAAAGCAGAACTGAATGTCTTTAAACAAAATAATTAAAGTTTTGTTGTTTCTGCATATTTTCTGCTCTCTAAGATGAGAAAAAATGATGGGAACAAAAATACACTGACTTATATAAGAACAAGACAAAACTTACTTTCTGATGCTTGGCTCCACGGATATGGGCAGCATAAGCATCTGCTCCTGTACAAGACACATCGCAAAGCTCACAGCGTAACTGATTCTGAGTTCCACGAGCGGAAGTGCTGCTGTTACTGGTGTTCTGGGAAGCTTTTAATGCTGCTTCTTTCTTTTTGTGTTTCTGGCCTTCTAAGTGTTCTTTGTAAGTCTGTTTAAATAAATAATACACACACAATAAGCTGTCTTTGTACTGCTTGTTCATCATTCATGTCAAAACAAGCAATATAGAACTTAGCATAAAACACATGCTTTGTATAAGAAATGCTTCCTACACTGAGCATTTCTTCCATATGACATGCTCTAAGGCATGAGCAGGTCCCTTCTGAGACCAAGAAATTTTCTTCTCCACCATCAGGATTTCACTTTTAGGTACTACAATATGGGATTTTTCTCCTCTGACTTCTCCATTTCTCAATCAAGTACTGGTGTATAGGTATCGTAATTGAAAACTTGATATGATCAGAAAACTGTGTCTCAGTTCAGTTTCCTGCACTGCAATGAATTATTCTTGATTTTGAATTTTCCTCAGACTACAAGACCACAGTGATCAACCGTATCCAGAAAACGAAAAAAATCAATTCAAAAGAAGGTAGAGCATAAATAAAGCTGTGCTGAAAATGAAATGCAGAAGTTGATATTTGTTCCTATATCAACACTGGCAGCCCAGAGAGCAGACACGGTGGGAAATAACAAGTTTACCCAAAGAGTAAGAACTGTTTAGCCAGACACACACATAAACACTCTGCGTGAATTAATACCTACTTTCTATGCACTTGTATGCACTGTGAAACTAAACTGGGATGCTGGAATACAATGAAGAATAAATTTTCAGCCTTACCATTTACAAAATTCATGTAATTCCATAGTTTTAGCATAGTAAATAAAGAAGTTTACTATGCTAAAAAAGCAAATCAAATCCAAAATTTACAATATTTCTGAAGTCCAGAAATATTCAGCACAGCTGAAGCTTCTCTGTACAAGATACTGTACAGCTACTCTGTAAAAGTATCTTTTTGTCTTCTCATAGGAATTCTTTCTATATAGCAGACATTTTCATTTAATTATTCATAGATTTCACAGATTTCATAGATTTTCTAGGTTGGAAAAGACCTTAGAGATCATCCAGTCCAACCATCCCTAATCTCCCATTAAACCATATCCCTAAGTAGTTCATCCACCCTATTCTTAAACACATCCAGGGATGGAGACTCAACCACCTCCCTGGGCAGCCTATTCCAGTGGACGACAACCTCTTCAGAGAAGAAATTCTTTCTAACATCCAACCTGAATCTCCCCTGACTAAGCTTATACCCATTTCCTCTTGTTCTATCACCCATCACGAACGTAAAGAGCCCTTCCCCCACCTCCCCACCATCCCTTCTCAAGTATTTGTAGGCTGTAATCAGGTCTCCCCTCAGCCTCCTCTTCTCCAGGCTAAACGGCCCCACCCCCCTCAGCCGCTCCTCATAAGTTTTATTTTCCAGCCCCTTGACCAGTTTAGTCGCCCTTCTCTGGACCCGCTCCAGGAGCTCAATATCTCTCTTAAAGTGAGGGGCCCAAAACCGGACACAATATTCCAGGTGCGGCCTCACCAGTGCCGAGTACAGGGGCAGGATCACTACCCTGTTCCTGCTGGTCACACTATTCTTGAT